GAGTCTGGTGTCGGTGAGGCGGAGGGCGGCGTTGGATACTGCACCGTCGAATTCGACTCTCCCGACGTCATGAGCGGAGGACTGGGCATGACCTACATGATCACCTCCATACCTACTCTGCTGAGCTTCGACAATCAAGAGGCCCAAATACAGACCAAGGTTCACGACGCCAAGAAGTTGACAGACCGCGCTTTTCTCGAGGAGTGGATCAGGTCTGAGGCTCGGCGGCACGGCCAGCGCGGAGGTGGCGGGGGATCCGGCGGCGTCTTTGGAGGATTGTTTGGCGGTTTCAAATAATCAGAACGGACGCTCCGCTGGGTACCAATCGGGCGTACTTTCAGCGAAACCATGTGCCTGGTGCATCTGGCGGCACAAGGCAGACAAGGGTACCGAACGCGATCAAAACGAAACGCTCATCATTCGGCTGGTCGTTTACTAATAATGCAATACACTCACACTCGATACCCTCATCCCACCAAACTTTTCTCTCTCAAGGCGTGTAAAACACCTCTTCGACAGGCTTCCACCACGCCGGCTCGCCAGCTTCACTGCTCACCGCGCCGGGAACCAGAGACTCCTGCCAGCCGTCGGTCATGGCCCACCATTCGCGGACCTTGGGGTTCTCCTTCATCTTCTCCATGTCTCCGGCAAAGTCGTAGCCGACATACTTCATGGTCGCAAACAGAATACGTGAATCGGGCTCGTGCCAAATGCTGTCTGTTGAGAGTAAGCCTTTATGAACCTTCGAAAGTCGTGCGACATCGGGGATTCGCAGTCTGCCATGTTGAGACCGACACCGGCGGATGATGACCTACAGTCGACAATGTTGCACTCCTTGATCTGCTTGAGCACCTCGGGCCAGACATTGGCGTGAACCTCCTTGTACTTGTCGATAAACTCGGGCTTGAGCTTCACAATCTGGGCAATGCGACGACCGGGGTTCTTCTGTCTGGAGGAGACGGGCGCAGGAGCCTCCACCTCGGTTGGGCTACCGGGCGCGGGGGGAGAAGAACGCTTGTTGGACCACATGATGCTCGTTGGACGCGTTTGAAGGGTTCGTCGTCGATGGCGGAGGTGGTGAAGTTTTTGCTCGCAAAATGTGCTCGGCGGAGGGCTGACCCAAGTGTGTCCCGTGGACTCGGCCGTCGGCCTGGCGAAGCTGGAGCGTCTGCTTAGAGCCGATGGATCAGCGGGGGGCGTCTTGGACTCGAGCGTCGACGGCCGGCGGAGAAAACGACGGAACTCGGCCAAGTCGGGGGAAGAATGTCGCGAGGCGGGGCGCGAGGGGTAAACAGAATGCGGGGATTGGGGGAGGGGAACACCACGGATGCTCGCCCACGCCAACAAACACACTGCGCCGATACACGGCACACACCCAGGTAATTCTGCAGCGCGGGATGGAGAGAGCGTCTGGGCACACAATCGCTACGCGCACACACAAGGATGCACACCTATCTGTTGGAGAGCCGTTGTTGCGACTGTGATGCGTGAAGAGGCCGCGGAGCGACTTGAGAAGAGAGGACCACGGGAAGGACACTCTCTTAAATACTGGCGCCGGAAGTGTCTGGTTCTCTTCCGCTTCATCCGTCGGTCAAATCTCGTCTATGGTGCGATGTACGGTAGACAATGCGGCAATATGTCGTACGGTTGGGACACGGATTAGTCAACTGCAGCAATCCGTTGGGCGGTAGTCGTGGGGATAGTGATAAACCCGGTTCGTCCGCGCGGGAGCTGCATGGCAGGCCCGACAAGCTTCTTATACACTCGTGAACCTAACTTAAAGGTGTTCATTCCTCCTCGGTCCAGCAAGCTCGCAGCAATTGCAGCAGACCTTCAGTACCGGGGCCCCGCGTCAGGTGCTCCACGGTGCCGCACCGTCTGAAGTCGACGACGATCTGAGCGTCTCCGGGCGCGTCTCACTCACCTCACTCAACTTTGAGAGTCCTACATCTAGTCAGCCCTCCAACCTGGAATAATCGTAGCTGCAGGCTGCAGAAGCAACGGCGGATGGGCTGTCAAGGTTCCAAGTCTGGAACGGGATGCTCGAATTAACCCAGCCAGTAGAATTCCTTCGAACTACCTCCATCCCTGACACCTCTCCGACCCCAGTCAACCCGGGTTTCCGGTCTCGACTTTGATGGAGTCACAAACTCAACACCCCCACGAAACCGCACGGGATTGCCTGTTCCAGCCTTGATGGGGTTTTGTTTTTATTTCTCTGATTGTGGTCCGTATACTGTGCGGTCATCCGCTTCCTCGCGGCTCTGATTCCTATTTATCCGCAACGTGCCGCGGGTAGCGTGCGTTGCTTCCGCCATGATCTGGTTTATTAATCTGGCCCCCGATGGCGCTGACAGAGAGAGGTGAAAGGTCAGAGGTGCGCTTGTCGCGTGCGCCGCTGGGCTGCGGAGCGGACGTCGGTTATCTGCGCCTGCATCTGGCGGGGTTCTGATCGGCGAATCATGAGGTGGCTTTCCATACTGCATGGGTTCGTAGACGATTCGACTGCTCTCGTGGTTGCATTGCATGCAGTGTTCGCTGTGCTCTTGTACCGTTCTTCTTCACAGGCTTCTAGAAGTGCGAGTAGCGTGGATGGTGTCTCCTTTCCAAGGAGAAATAGAGGATCCATACGTATGATTTTCTTGAGATATCACGTCGAGGACACTCAGGCTAGAGTCTCCCGTCACGTCACACATGAAACTACGTTATTTTGTGAGCATGCAGCACGGATGAGACTGAAATGTTTCCACGTTTTTCTTTCTTCAACTTATTTTAGGCTTTTGCTTGATCAACCTTACTTCAGCCACGATGGGGTCCTCTCACAGAAGTAGGGAACGCGTACTGGTGCCAGCGTCTTTTTGGATGAGATGAGGAGGGAGGGGTCTGCGCGGTGAGCGGCAGGCTCGCTTAGACGTCGGCTTGGATTGGTGATGAGGAGGTCTATCGTGAAGCTGATGCTTCTTTTTGAGAAATTCTTTTCTCGAGGGTAGGGGTGAGGTAGGTAAGGCCTGTTGGTTTGGAGCTGCCGTGGGCTTGGTGGGGTGATGCGTATGGGGGCTGAACCGTTCTGCCGTAAGCTGGCGATGGAAAGTGGGAGACTAGGTGCTTTAAGTTCCACACATCTTTTGTGACTTGGAGATGTACGTGGCCATCCCGGATATGGTGTCGTGGTGATGTGTGAGAGGGGGGCCGGCTGAGTGGATGGTATAATAATTTGTCGTTCAATACCTTTGCTCTCTTTCTGCTATTCCTATTTACTACTGCTGCTATTGTTATGACTTCTTTCTTCTGCTTAACAATTCCTCAAAAAGTACGCTCCATGAAGCATATCGTGATTGTGATAGTTACAGTGGCTATAGGAAGGCGGCTAGTCTTATGTTGACCGATACCCTATCTGGTCACCCACTTGTCGGCTAATGAACAACCATAATATTCGGGGTTACTTGCGGCTCCTCGCTACCTACGATACGTTGTACGGAAAAGGATGAAAGATCATCGTACACGTAGTTCTACTCTTTGATCGTCGTACTGAGAACAAACAGAGTACATCTCGCTGTGTTCGAAGGTAGTCATCATTGATTTGTTGCCTCTCAGCCAGTTCTCGTGGCCGGTCGAAATATTCAACGTTCTTTCTTACAAAAAGAGAATCCGAATGCGAGTGATGCTGGAAAACACCATGTTTCTAGTGCATACCTCCTCTGCTAAATTTTAACACTTCCCATATCTTCCTCATTAAGTCTGGAAATTTCTAGGGCGAGGGATGGCGCGAGTAGGTCAGTCATCAATTCTTCCCTCCTATCAAGCAGAACTCCAGGCAATATGTGAATCTCAGAAACTACTCAAACTAATGGGGAAGAAGAAAAGAAATGACTAGAACGCGTCTTCAAAAGAACAAGCCGGCAGTGAAGAAACCATGCGGTAGACTATCCCCTCCCTTTTCCAATGGGATGAGATATCGATTTCAAGACTGTTTTGCCTAGCCTTGTTGAGGTGGAATTTCACCAATTAGTACTTACAACCTCAGCTGATCCGTGACTGAGAGATTAAACTATATTCGTCATTGCTTTGAGACTGAGCAAACTCAAGAACCACCAGAGCCTCCAACCCAACCGAAGCCCACGAGCCCAAAGACCTCAGCCCCAGAGCCTTTCCAACCTCGTATATTGACCCGCCGTCGGGGAACATCCTCATCCCGGCCGAACACGGACCCCCGGACCCAGAAGCGGCCCCATTTTCCAAATTTACACAACGCCAACTCCATTCTCCAGCCCTAAGCTACACTCCACCCACCACAAACATAATCTCACTCCGAGCCCAAACCCACGTCTCAAATCACGAGTCCATCTCATCCAGCGTCGATGGTTTAGTGGTAAAATTCTCCGTTGCCATCCAGCAACGTCGGGGAGCCGGGGGTTCGATTCCCCCTCGACGCAATTCTTTTGTCTGTTGTGTTGACATACGCGCCGAGTCCTCATCGTGGGTTGCGATTTTCAGTGTTTTGGGGTTTTTAGGTGTGGAGTTGAGGTGTGAGTTAGGTTGTGTGCTGCGGGGTCGGAGAGGGCCCACTTGAAAAACACGGGTTTGCAAAATGGAAAGATTGGAAGGACGATGTGATGGGATGAATGCTCAGTGAGGTCAATATGCAGTGACATATTGTTGCTAAAGTGATGAATATATGATCACAGCATGGCAAAGTGGTTGGCTGCAAAATATACTTTGAAGCTTGTTCATATTCATGGGAGAGTTGTCTTTTACGGTTCAAGTTAAGTCGTCAGACAGACTTGCAAATTTCATTCAACATTATCAAACTGACAACTCGTTGTACCAGCTCTGTTGACCAGAGAGCGAATTGCGGATGTGTTCTTAAGGCTAATTTGATGTAACAACATAGCCCCCATGACACTATTCGTTCAGATACCAGGACATGACCCAGACTGTGTGGGCATTCGCATACACTCTGCCCAAACATGCTCTTGCCAAAAAGTTGACCGTTTACACAAGTAGCAAAATCAAATGTCCCTAGCAAGGCTCGAACTTGCGACCTTTGGATAACCCCCGGGATGTCTCCCAGAGTCATATGTATTTGATATGAGACCAACGCTCTACCGACTGAGCCATAGAGACGATCTTGTGTGGGAACTCGTTTGGTGGGTGGTACCAAGAAGCGAGAGAGGGCATCGTGGGCGGGGCGGAAGGGGAGGAGATGATGATTGTGGGAGGGGAACGGGGCCGTGGAGATGGGGGGTCTTGGCCAGTCACGACTCACGATCGTGATGGATGGAGAGGGAAACGGTGTCTTTTGATTTCCTCAATGTCGAGCCAGGTGTGTGGACGGAGATCGGTGTGCCTCAGAACGAAACTAGACTCGATATTCCCTCGAGACCACTTCCCAGTCACCCACTTACACAGGACCCACGCCCCATCACGGCGCCTCAACCCTCAGCAACCTCTCAGCATTCCGAAACGCAATCATCTCAAGCTGCTCCCCCGTCACCATCCCACTATCCCTCAATTCCCTCATCCACGCAAGCCCATTCTCATTCTTCTCAAAAGGATAATCGACGCTATACAAGATATGTTCCACGGGCGTATTCCTCAACACGCACGCCAGCGGCGCGAGACCCCACACCCCGCTCGTGGTAACCCACACATTCCCCTCCCACACCTCCCGCCATCCGCGCCGTCGCGGACCCCACCGCACCGAGAGCTTTTCCACGCGCTCCATCATGAAGGGTAACATCTCCCCGAAATGCCCAATGATGATTTTCAGGGAAGGGTACTCGTCAAAGAGACCCGCGGCAAAGAGCTTGAGCACGGCGAGCCCGGTCTCAGAGTGCCACCCGAACCCGCTGGATCCCATGCTCCGCGCCGCGCCGGGGTCAAAGTTGCCCTCGTACGCGGGCCGCTGGCTCTCCGAGGGGTAGGTAGGATGTAAGTACACCGGCACGTCGAGCTCCTCCGCCGCCTTGAAGACGGGCCAGAAGCGTCTGTCGTCGTAGTGTTGTCCATCCACATGCGCATCCACCAACGCGCCGACGAACCCCAGCTCCCGTACACAGCGCCGGAGTTCCGCCGCCGCGGCGTCTGGGTCGGCCATCGGTAGCACGGCGAAGCCTGCGAAGCGGGTGGCGTTGGCGCGTACGGCGGCCGCGAGGTGGTCGTTTGCGAGACGGCTCAAGTGCGGGGCACGGGGGCCGAGGCCGGGCGCGTGGGATACGATTTGCAGGCTGATGCGGGTTTCGTCCATGTTGGCGAGGCGGAGGGGCCCGACGTCCTGGAGGCGGGATGATACCTCGGGGAGGTGTTTGAGCTGTTCTGAGTATATGTCGGAGAGTTCTGTAAAGAGATCTTTTGCGACGAAGTGTTCTTCCAGGGTGATTAGTTTTGGGAGCGGGTCGGACATGTTTGCGGATTGGGTGAGTTCGTGTTTGGACTTTGGAGGGCTAAATATGTGATGATGAGAGAGGTATAAATATTTGAGGTGAGGTTCAAAGAGGTGAGATTGACTCTTATGTCGTTCGAAGCCACGGTAGTGGTGGCGGACGCCTCGGCCGACGTCTCCCGAACAAGTGTGACCCCGCATACTGTATTCAGATGAATTCATGTGAGACATGCAGCTCGTGAATCTCGACCAAGCAAGTTCCCTTGCGAATTGATAATCAAGAGCTGTTGAAAGATGCCTCCGTCACTGCTGGCATCTTAATGTGTGAGGTTTTACTTGCGAGACTCATTGACGGTTTGCCGTGTGAGTAGTGTGCCTTGTTGTGGATGGCTTTGTCATTATTCACACCTTCACTTATCAACCATTGTCTAACCAAGCAATCACATCTCAAATTTTCCTTACTAGACAAAATGCTTTTTGGAAGTGTGAGACTCTACTGAAGCTGCAGATTCACAGACGATAATCATGTTCCGTGACTACCTCCCAACACTATTATAGTTTCTTTTAAGTAAAGACATTTGGGTAAAGGGAAGTCATAAATAGACAAAAAGCCGAAACTATGTCGACTGATGTGAGAGAGCATGTGGTAGGCTACCCATGCTTTGATGCTGAAATGTAAGAAAATAATGCCAATGCAATACAAATTCATGATTACTTTCTGAGCAGCATAGTTTCAGCAATTCATATTCATAGGCTCGACGCCATCTCATTCTGGGGTAACCAATCTCATGATCAAAATCAAGTACAGTGAAAGCCTCACACTTGCTTCACTTCGAAACCTCCAAAATGTGAGAGGAGATATGCACTCCCTCATTCTCCTTGCGTTACCTTCATCCAGGGACCCAGTATTGAATATCTCTGCAGCGGCCCCGACGAGAAAGTCACAAGTTTAGAACCGAGATTCAGAAACTCTCTGCAAACATGTATAGAGATACGTCCTACATATCCGTAGCCCTCGTTCTTGTGTAGTACTCCCGAGAATCGTCACATGAAATGATCACGAAACATGGCTAACCTGCCCGTGGTAATCAACCGTACATAGCAGCCACCCTTCTTAGTCCACGGAGGAGAGCCCCACTCCAGCGCCCCGGACCCCAGGGCCAAGCCCGCGCTTGCCCCGCCACGACGATCCGAACCCCCGCGGCTGTCCCAACCTCCCCCCGGGAGCCCCTGAATGTCAGTGCCTGGTACCCTGTGTGCAGCATGCGACTCCCACCGCCTCCAACCCCGCATTCCTGCCCCCCGCACCCGGAACGGTCACCGCCGCCTTACACCGACCTCACACGACCACAGCTGAGAGCAAGGCACCTCACCTTACCCAAGCTCCATGAGAATCGCGACTTTGCGCCGGACAATCTCATCTCACCTACACATCCCACATCACATCTCACTCACCCACTCACTCACTCACTCACTCATCCACGTACTCACCAACACCTCATCTCATTCAACTTAACTCAACTCATCCCAACACCTCTAAAGTCCAAAAAAAGAAAAAAAACAATGGACGACCCCTCAACCCAAACAATCAAAATCCTAACCCACCTCTCCAAAACTCTCTCCCTCTCCCCGCCCCAATCAACCCACCCACCCGCAACCCTCACCGGCCTCCCGACATCACACACCGGCACAGCCTACCTCTTCCTTTCCGTCTCGGCCCATCACCCCCGCCTCCAGATCCACTCCTACCCGGCCATCCACTGGGCCCGCGCCTACATCTCCAACATCCCGACCCCGTCCGCCCCGATATCTCTGCCGTCTAGTACACAAGAGACAGCACGAGACATACCAGTCCTGGGCCTCCTCTCCGACGACCTAGCCGGCCCCGCCATCCGCGCCTGCGTGACAAAAGACCTCCTGCACGTCCGCAAGTTTCTCGCCATCCTCTCTCTCGTGTTGGAACACATCATCTCCTCCAACGCAAACGCCAACTCCTCGTCCTCCTCAGCACCGATGTCAAACTCTTCCACGACAATGGACCTAGACGCTCCAGAACCGACAACAACGTCAACACCACCCCTGCCAAGCTGCCTCCTCCACGGCCTCGCAGGAACACTCTACCTCCTTCGCCTCATCCGCCACTGGGTCCCCTCCTCCGCGCCCCTCGTCTGCGGCGCGATAGTCCACGTGTCAGAGTACCTCCTCGGCCCACATCCCTGGACATGTCCCTCTCGATCACCGACGTCGTCTCAATCTTACTCCCACTCTCACTCTCCTTCATCACCATCACCGCCGCCACCAGAAGACACCCACGGCACAACCCACGGCGACCTGGGCATACTAACCCAACTCGTCCTCACATCCCCGCCCCTCGCCGCCTCCCCGGTCCTGACATCCCGCCTCGCCGCCCTCCTAGACCTCCAGCTTCCCAACGGCGACTGGCCGGCTCCGTCAACCACCTCACCTTCGCCCCACTCACAGCCCTCTCAAAGCGAAATACAACAAGCCTTAGACGCACCGCCAACACCAACACAACAAAAACCAGCAGCAAAATCATCACCACGCCCACCCCGCGGCTTCGCCTCCGGCCCCCAAGGCCTCGTCCTCTCCCTCCTCTCCCTACGCCCCTTCTTCCCGAGCCTCCACGATCGCACAGACGACGCTGTTGAGAAGGCGCGTGAGTTCCTCTGGGCTAGGGCGGTTGATTCTGACGTGCCGGCTGAGGATGTGAATCTGTTTTACGGGTCGTTGAGTACCGCGTTGTAAGTCCCCCTTTATTTCGTTCTGAGCTGTTTGGATGTGAGGAGTGGATATGGACCTTTCAACCCCCTATTCCTTGATGGAGAAGACACGAGTAGCAGTGTGTGATATCATTCCATCATACCGTTGGCATCTTCTTCATTCAACCTGCTCGCATGCTCACGATCCTTTCTCGCCTATCCACCCCTGTCGTCAGATTTCTCCTATACCTCACAACACTGGCCCTCTCATACACGTATCCAAGCCTCACAACCAGCCCTAACCTCCCATCTCACTCTCAACACACCCATTTCAAACATGATCCTACTCTCATAACTAACAAGCCTCCAGAACCTTCCCAAAAGGTCCCAAAAGAACCCACCTCCTAGCCCAACAACCCCCCTCGCCAAACCAACCCCTCTCCCCGCCCACCAACACCGGCACTAACACCAATACCAACATCACCACATCTCGAAACCCATCAACGCCGTCCCCCTCGGCCTCCTCCTCCTCAACAACACCAACGACACCACCAACAGCAGGCTCCGTAACAACAGCACCCCACCCAGGCTCCGCGTACCTTCACGCCGTCGCCGAGCGCGACATGCCCCGCATGATCTTCTACAACGACATCTGAGCCTTTGATCCCGCTCGACCTCTCCCTTCATGGTTGTTAAATCGAATGAGCATGACCTCACCTCTGGCTTAACCTGTGGCTTAAATCGGTACAAGGCCTATTTGTGCCGACATTCTCACCCCCATTACAACATCCTATGTCGTGAAAAGCCTGCACTCTACCATCTGTCTATTCTCCCCCTTCCTTAATCAAGAAGTACTTCACATTGTTGCCTATACTCTTCATCCGACAGGAACAGGAAACGGTGGCCGGGGGGGGGGGGGGAAGTACCGTTCAACTACGAGAGGCAAGCTACTTATATAGCTCGGACAAACAAACAGAAACAACCCTCCAACCGACGGACTTCACCAGGCGTATATAGCATATAAGATACCCCAAACATAGACTCCATCTTTCCATGGAACTGGCTAGATGCTACTCCTCAAATCATAATCTCAATACTTCACTTCACTATTTCTTCACATGAGACACCTCTGATAAACCCACCCATTATACTTGACTCATCCCACACGGCACAGTCACCAAGTCACAAACGAAAGTGTCATAGTCAATGGAATTCATTATTCCAAGAGCGCGTCCGCCCCCCGATCGCCAGTTGGGGACGAGACGACGGGTATATTGGCCACCTCACTGCAAACCACAGCTACATCCTCTCACCTCACCCAAGTCCCGTATCTACTCACATCCTTCAGACAAGAAGGATCACACCCATCCGCAAAAAAGCAAAAAAAAAAAAAAACCTTACGTCCAGGACAACAATCGAAACGAGTGTGGTGAGGTCCCTCCCATTTCTCTCCCGGGCCATTTCGAGTCTTGGTTTCTTTCTCCACCTCTCGGCCATGCTGCCCCCAAAAAAACAAAACCCTTTGCCAATGTGCCCAAGAGAAAGCCCTTCTCTCCGCCCCAAGAAACCCCTAATTACGCCATGTGTCCCGTTTCCCGTGGAACTAGTGCTTCCCAGTCCATGCCTGAAAGAAAAAGCAACCTCCAAAAGTGCCAAACGTATTAAAATCAGAAAAAACAAAATGCTAGCGTTAAGAGGTGATGCGACATCCTCGGTCGATGAGTGAACCGACTTCACCGGTTACGATCATCCTGCGATGATCGACTAGCGCGGGACGACGCCCCAAAGCTACCGGACAACATCCCCAACCACCCGTCGGGCCGGGTCTGACGTCCCCTGGGCGCGGGCGAGAGGATGCCTCCTTGCTCCACGTCCTCGTCTCTGTCCCGCGAGCCGGACGCCTCGGCTTCCACCTCGTCGTCAGAGTCGTCGTGATACGGTTCATAGCGGGGGCTGGATGGAGAGCCGCGTGCAAGAGAGCGAACAACATCACCCTTGCAGATGGGGCATGTGCGGCGACGCGTTGTCAACCAAGGCGTGCTGAAAATGTCAGTCCTATAAACATATACAAAGAGGGGGCAGATAAACTCACATGCACTCTGCGTGGAATTCGTGGCCGCATGGCAAGCTCATGACGCGACTGACGCCGTCGACGTACTCCTCCAAACAAACCACGCATTCAACCTGTCTGCCCATGTACTTCTTCCACTCGCTCGAGTAGCTGCCGTTCGCCTTTTCGTGCTCTGTCCGCAGTGGCGACCTAGGCATTTGCAGTGCCGAGTTGACAGACAGCAAGCTCTCCGACTCGGGAATGCCCGTCGTTGTTCTAGAACGGGGCCGTGGTCGGGAGGGCGTCTGCTGTAGCAGGGGCGTCGTGGGTGTCGGGCTCGTCGGTGACGGGATTCTCGGCGAGGGAACAGGCGATGCCGCGACGGTGTGGTATGTGCGAACGGGCAAACGCTCGACGACCGACTTGGGTGCCCTCCAGCGTCTTCTGCGAATGCGCGCGCGGAGGATCAGCAAGGCATAGACGACGCTCAGAGTGATCAGAGGGCTGATCACAAGCACCAACAGAGTATCGAAGAAGGGGCTGGAGCTGCTTGAAGGTGTAATCGTAACCCAGAGACCATCGTGCCCAATAGGCTCGTTGCCGTCGTCCTTATCACCGTCGTCGGGGATGGGCTCCTCGGGCCGCGGGGGATCCTTGGGTTTGTCCTCCTTGGAGAAGTCGGCGCCGTCGTCTTCTCCAAAAATCTTAGACATGATGCCTCCGTGGGCTGTGGTCTCCTTTCCGGAGGTGGATCCCTCGGTCTCAACGGGCGGCAAATCGGGGTTGTATTCGCCGCTTCCGGGAGTGATGCTTCCGCCCTTGGGGCCGGTGACGTCCTTGCCACTTTTCGCGGTGCTGCCAGGCTTGCCAGCCTGCTGCTCCTTGGCTGCGCCCTCGGTCTTATCTTTGGAGCTGGGGGCATCCACCAAGTCGGGATCCCGCCAGTCCTGGACACCGATTTGGAACGTGTCTTCGCTCTTGCGAGCGTCGGGAACCTTGCCTTTGCCCCTCTTGGCGGCCTTGCCAAGACCGTCTCGGATGACTCTGTCCTTCTCCTCGCTCCAGTCGTCAACGAGCACCCAGTTATGGCGACCGCTGCTCGGGGGCTGGATGCTGTCGCCGGATCGTGAATTGCGGCTCCAGCTAAATAGCCATCGGAACAGACTGGTGCGGGGCTTGGTTGCCTTGTGCTCGGCCTTGGCCGGCTTTCCCTTTGCGGCAGCCTTGGCTTTGGGCGTTGCCGTGGCCTTGGGGATTGGCGTCGGCGTCGTCGCCGCAACCTTTTGCTTGTTCTTCCTGTTCTTCCGGCTCCCTCCGTCGGATTGCAGCACCTTGAGAGCTGGGCGGCCATGCTCGTCGAGAGTGTCTTCGATGAAGCTGCCGGGTTGCGTCAGCGACGACAGCAAGTGCGCTGTGGTCCGGGTGGTGAAGACGGAGGGAATGGAGACGTTGGAGGTATCGCCCCTCGCAAACATCTGGATCAAGGGACCCCCCTTTGTGTTATCGCCCACAATGAGGGCCATGGCGCCACGTCGCTGCGCCCATTTGACCTTTTCCAAGAAGCCGCAGCCGCCGCGACTGAGCAGCACAATCTTCCCGGCGATCTCCGCAGCTTCTTGTATCGATTGAATATCGGCGTGGGTCGACTCGGTGGATAGGGCGCTATCGTGGTTGGGCTGAGGCTTCCGGGCGAGGCCTTGGTGGAGGTAGTCGTCGGTGCCGTCGTCGGCTGGGCGGATCTTGGACCTGAGGCGAGTGACGGGGACACCCACAGCGTCGGGTACGGCGTCCTTGTCGGTCTTGTCGCGCTTATGGTGGCCAGGCTTGCCGGCAGCAGCAGCAGCCTTGTTGGAGGACTTGGACATGCCCTTGGTGGCAGTCTTGAGAACGGCGTTGGCTTTGCCATCGTCCCAGCCGGGGATGTCACTGCATCCCAACTCACCCTCACCCTCGCCCTCCTGGAGATTATCGTCTGCGAAGCCACTGCCGATCCATAGTTGACCGCTCAGGCCCTTGTTGGGTAGGTTGGGGCCAAATGCAGCAGGGCGAGCGACAAAGGAAGTGCTGTTGTCATCTGTCAGACTGATGGCGGCATTTGGTTGGAAAATGGAAAAGGGCGCTGTGAAGGAGAAGAAACTCGTGAATCGTGACCGCGGTACTGCGACCGGAGCGGCGATGACGGGAGAGGAGGATGAGGCGGGGGAGGAGCGCGCCAGTGAGGTGATGGAGCGGCAGAAGAGGAAGAGCGAAGCGGCGAAGAAGAGGACGAGAATGGCTATTCTAGGAGTACGCATGTTTGGATATCGTATCGGGTCGTGACTGAGTGAAAGGGAAAAAAAAAAGAAAGGGGCCAGAGGTCGAGGCTCTGTGTCGTGAGTATGATATCTAGAAGTGGCGGAGGGTTCGGCGCACGGCGCGGCAGCCGAGGGGGTAATCGAGTCTGGCGATAGTGGCGCCAGAAAAGGTTGTCGACGTTGAATAAGGTGAGGTATCGACCGGCAGCCAGCAGTGGCTCAGCGGCAAACTGCACAAGGGCCCGGCATGCGCAAAGTCATTCGGTGACAGAAAGCGAGGAAAGGTCGTCTGTCTGGCTGCTGTAGGTGGAAATGTCAAAACGTATGACGAGGCTGAAGTGAGGTAGAGGAAAGTAGTGGCGAGGAGGGGAGTCGAAGGTACGACAGTTGGTAGGTATCCGTAGGGCCTTCAGTTGGAGGAGCCAGGAGGGTTGGAGGGGTGAAGGGGTTGGGCAGCAGCCTTTCCCACACAAGGACGCACTCTCTGGGTCTCTCTTTGGTGTGCCGGCGGGAAGCGTCGGGTCAAGAGACGAGAGAAAACGGGACTGGTATTTCGGTGGTCGGGAAGCAACAGGAGAAAGAAAGTTGAATGACGAGGTGCCGATCAGGTTATTCAGGTTCGGGACCGCAGCAAGGTAAGGTAACCTGAGGTAGAGTGGGAGAAGTCAATTTGATTGTGGGCGGCACGGCGGGTTGGGTGAGGTGTTGGGTGTGCACGCAGCGCAGAGCAGTGCAGCAGCGCCATGCAGAGACACCGTCGGATGAGGTAAGGTAGGAAGAGTGAGTACGCAGTAGTTAGGGGCGTGGGATGCAACGACTCGAGCAATGGAAGAGAAAAGGACGGAAAGACACTTCAAAGGTTAGGTTGTGAGAGAGACAGAGACAATGGAGATGGAAGACCGAACCAGAGTGACACACCAGGAGGGTCTGTCCCGTCCGCATTGGGTGGCGGGGCGCGGTGTTGCTGTTTAGGTGCCGGGGCCTCCCGTCTGTCGCTCGCTCGCTCACTTCTGCTCTCGTGCAATTATCAATGACACACTTCAATCACTACGAAGTCACCAAACCTCACTACCTAACTCTACGATGAGTACTTA